TTTTTTTTTCTTTTTTCCCTTAGGACTTCTGTAATAGTAGTTAAGTGCATGAGAACAAAAAAGTTTTTTCCCTTAGGACTTCTGTAATAGTAGTTAAGTGCATGAGAACAAAAAAGACTGAAAGACTGGTAATGTAGAGTTTCTTGACAGTATCATGCTATCCTGCTTTACTGATTCATCACATCTGGCTATTCTGGAGTGAATGCGGCCACTTGCTTTTCAGGCTAAAAAAGTGAGTTTTCTTGTAATGGTCAATGGAAAAGTTGAATGTTGTAATTTTTATTCAGCTTAGAGGAATGCTGTTTTCTGGAACAGCYWAGCCTTGGGTCTCAGGTCGCCAGCCATAGGGTGGTGATTAGTTATCAAACAGGCTCTCACAGTACAACTGCATGCTTACACAGAGTTGGATACTTACATTTATGAATAGAAATCTGCCTTTCTGATTTTTTCAAATGCTTTTTGTCACATCAAGATGCTTAGGCCCTGATTCAGCAAGGCACTTGAGAAAAAAGCCTGTTTCTGTGTGTAGTCACTGCACTACTGAATACTGATAGGTCCAGATGTGTTTTAAAGTCTTAGTAGTTTTAAGCACAAATATGATATGTTATTAAGGAAATGGTCATTTCTCTTGTTCCCCTGTAGATGATTGTTACTGACATGGGAAGTGTTTGTTTTTACCATCTTGCTTTCTGGTAGATTTTTTTTTCTTAGTGTTAAGTCAAGACCATGTTTAAACTGTTCTTTCATTTCTTGAGGTGTGAAAAATTTGATGGGCATATTACTATCAGCTGATGTAGTTCTAGTTCTATAGAGTGGTGCTGCAATTTCATCAAATGGCTTTAAATGAGTTGYTGCATTAAGGAGGTAAGAGACTAGATTGTAACAACTCAATAATGACTTGCATTATGGGAGAGTGTCAATAAAAACACAATTATTTAAACCCTGGCTAAAGAAGAGCACTCTGAATTCTATCAGGCACAACACTTTGAAGTGTTTTTTAATGAAGAATTGAAACTGACGTGCACTCAGGGACTTCAGAGAATATGTTATTTGTGATGTTTTGGAAATTTACAGTTGAATAACTGAACCCAGTCTGTGACCTTTGAAATCACAGAAACTCTTGGTGAGGAAATAATTTGTATCATTATATCCAATACAATGTAGCTCAGCCATGCTTGCTTTCTATGGAYACACTTTATAAAACGCTGGATAAACCACAGTTACAGTTAACACTCAGTAAGTGAGATGAAAAACCTAAGTGAGACCTTTTCATTTTTAGAGTTATAAGAATCTTTATTCRAAAGTAACATTCTTTGAAGGCTACACAGAGATGGTGCTTGTTTCAATATAGGTTGTGTTGGGATCAGTTATTTTGCGTATTTGGAGGTGTCTTTGAAATTCAGTAAATGAGTCAAATGATAACTGATTAGGAACCTGCAACATTTTACATATTTTTTATGACACAGAAGCTGAACAGTAATGGTTGTTGTCATGTCAGATAGATTAATCCCCAAGAATGCTTTGTTTTTGTTCCTGATAGGTTAAACATTTACGTGTGTATGTTTGTAAATAATAAATATTTGAATCTCACTTACTTTGTTTGTGTATAGTTTGATGCAGGTTTAAAGCTTCCTTAACAAAAGCAATGCTACAGAAATTGCTTGGAGCTTTGCTTTGATAGTTGGCTTTGAATATGACCAAATATGTTTTCTTCGACATCACTGTTGCCATAAATGCTCTGAAGATGAATTTGTTATTCTAGTAAAGAAAGAGCTGTGTATAATATAGGTGTATTCAGATAGTTGAGCTGTCTTTAAAACTGGAAGAACCTAAATGAGCTCACAAGCATTCTGCRTTACATGCTTGAAGCAGGAGTGAGGAGGTGAGCACTTCAGAGTTTCTCTGCTGATCTATAAAATTCTATTTGATTAATAAAAATGTAAGTTATTTACACCTTTTCATCCAGATGCTGTTAGAACATTCAGTCAGAAAAACTGAGCTGCCACTTTTGTGGCTGAAAACAAAGACTGATGATCTAAAATAAATTTGATGGCTGTTTTGCTGCCCTTTATTGTCGGGCTGGGTAGAAGAGAATGTGCGCTTTCCATCAGTAGGAAATGTTCTGAGGCTTCACCTCTCCCTCTTTCATCTCACTGGTGCAACTAAGATATGAATGACGTTGCTTTACAGCAATGAACTATTTTCTTATTCCCTCTGCTCTGAATCTGAACTGTTATTTTTTATGAAATGTTGGTCATCAGGAAAGATTGCTATGGTRAAAGAGATGTTAGGAATATTTCTGAGCTTTTATAATTGAATTTGAAGTAATTTGTACRTATCTGCCTTTAAAATATGTTACAGCGTCTTCTAAGATTGTAAAATATTTTTTTTAAAGAGTTGATTTTTATTAATTCAATTGAAAGGCTCTTATATTTGTGGCTTTCCTCTCAAAGTGCATGTCTCATACAATGCATGACACAATATAGTGTAGGGTTTTGAAACTGCCTTCAGTAGTTTCCACTCTGATAATCTTGTAGTTAATTGCCAGCAGTTATTTGATGTTCTTCAAACTGAGGTTCTGATGAGAAGAATTTAAGGCCTGTTTTTTTTTAATTTTTTTTAAATTTATTTTTTAGCAAGCCAGCTGAATTGATTCAATGTAATTTCTCTGTCTGATGTGCAGACAAAGCAAGCTGTGGTTGGAAGGCTATGCAGCAAGTTTACATAACTTGAGATTAGAAACAACTGCAATCATTCTAGCCTTGAGAACAGGGACGCGGCACAGGGGTAGGCACTGCCCAAACAGTACACCCAAGGCAACAGTAACTTCCTGACTGGTTAGACCCCTAGAAGGTTACCTGTGAATCCTGTGAGGAGTGCAGAGATGCATGGGCCATATGTGGTCCTGTTCAGGATACTGGAATTGTACTCTGCCTCCAATAATTTTTAGAATTGAATGCAGTTCACTTGGTGTGAATATCTAATGCTTTGGCCAATTTAAACCTTATTTACATTAGCTTAGTTTAAATTTGGTGTTTAAAGAGCTGTACTTATTGGTCTGCTTTAGAAATTCAAAGTGATTTAGTGAGAACAATTTTAAACTGATTTTAATTAAACCAGATAACTTTTTGTGTTTTTACAGACAAAGCGTGTGACTGGCCTTTTCAAATGGCCATGGAATATGTGCAGTCTTAGAATTACTTTTTTATGCATGATTGATTTCTTCTGCTGAAGTCGAATTTAGGCTGTTGTGTTGTATATAAACGAAAAGAATTAAATTCTAAAGAAAATTTTGTTCATTTTTTGTTCCCTTGCTCTGAGAGTAACTCTTGCTTGTTGAGACTTCTATTAAATTATTCCCACTACAGCATTTCACTGTCTTTTTATAGTAGGCAGGCGAGTGGACTCTATGACCTTTTTTACTTCTGATTTCTGGGATGCTTTTTTCCTCAGACAAAAGAGAATGTAAGAGACAGCTGGGATATTGTAATTTATGGTGATAGAATACAGAAGCTTAACTGCAGTCCCATGGTGAGATGTGCCACTATTCTAGTATATGGAAAAATGTATAAATTGTTTTTGTTGAAGGTTATTTGGAAAGAACGTAATGAATGTTGGGGAAATTCTCCTGGGAAGTTTCAGGTCTAATGCTGAAGTTCTTGTATAGGATATCAGTGAAATAAGGTGTGTATGAGGCCTGTGTTAGAAGTTAGAGGAGTTTAGATTATGTACATATCTATCAATTTTAAACTGAGAAAAGGTTGTGATTAGAGAGGAATACTAAATATAAAGAGAAAAATTGGAAACTTCTGTTTTTGAATGAGCTCTGTGTGGGTGATATGAATATTTCTAACTAATTGATTCTGGTTCAATGAGTAGAGGGCAGCTAATGGAGGGCATAATTCAGCTAGGCATCAGATCCCCTTGAAGGGTGATTCTGGCAAATAGGTCCAGTCAATATGTTTTTGTGTTACAAAATGGATGATAGTGCAGAGCTTGTATTCCCATTGATCCCCATTGTGCAGGACAGACAAATGGGATACCTTTTAACTAGCAGTAAATCCATGAGAAAATGAAAGTAGTTATCATGTAATCTTTTATCCATAATGCATATATCAAAATATATAGAAAATACAGATATTCTATTCCATTCTGTTCTCTGACTTCTGATGTTCRCTGTGATCTTTTTATCTTGTTTGGGGTTTTTTTGTTTGTTTTCCTATTCTCTGTAAACAGCAAATTTATCTTTTCATCTATGTAACTCAGGTATGTGTAAGGAATTCAAGTTACGGAGCAGAGGCTGCTTCTTAATAATATTAATACTGTATTAGTTTTCTAGGATTGGTGGTTATGCATGTAAAGCTTTTCCTTTAACTTTACATTTTGGACCATAGGTAGTATCATAAATCTAAATAACAACTTGCACAACATCTCATTAGTCCGACATCTGCAAGCACAGGGTGTTACAGTTGCATCTGTTATGGAGTCTGAACCGCTTGCTACTCACAGTGTTAAAACGTGGGTATGAACACAAGAGACTGACAACAACAGGTTATGAACAACATTTCTTTGTGAGTATGGCTCTTGCCTTTTATTGCTTGCAGATCCTGTCCTATCTTAGATGTGCTTGTAAATTTGAAATGATTTTGGATCAGAGAAACTTTAACACTGTGCTTCAGTGTGCTGTTGAGCAAGTTGAGAATGAAAAAGCAGAGTGGTATTGTGAATAAGGAAGATGATGTGATTCATTGTACCCAGGTTTGTGTCCTGATGGAGGAGACTGTTAGTGAGTTGACTTAAAAACAGGTGCAAACTCTTTAGAAAGTGGATGAATATATGCAGTGCTCTCTATCTGCAGTATGGTCAGTGTCCTTCTTTTGATGAAATGGAAAACGATGCACTGCTTGAAATTTCAGAAACCACTATTTTCAGGCGCTACAGTATGTTAAGCCTAGAAAACTGCAGAAACACTTACCGACCTTTTCTCCCTGCCCCAGCAGATGACCCCCAGCAATTAATGCCGGCAGGCTCTCTTCGTAAAAAGAAGCTGGCAAGAAGACCTGGATACATGAGACCAGAAGTTCAGCGACAGATCGAGTTTCAGTCCCTCGGTGCCTGCCCMCGGTTCAGCCCAGCAGAGCTCCAGCACGGCCGGCAGCACTGTGGAGGCTCTGAGAACTGCTCTCTGTGCAGACAGTGCCAAAATAACKTAGAGTTTCTGTGCTGTGGTGCAGTGAGTAGTGCTGTAGTTCCTGCTAATGGGGTGACAACATTGGCCACTACTGGAAATACGCCAGGATGCTGTRGAAATCTTTCATATTGGAATAATCCACGGTCAGAAAGCACAGTGACAGGGGTTTACCCTGCTGCCAGCTCAGGCAAAGGAGATGCTTCTGCTGGGTTYTGTACACGTCAGAAAAGCCACAGCACTAAAGTGAGCAAGCCCCCAAACATGTATGCTTTGGATCAGACAGAAGTGAATAACAACTGTGAATATCAAAACAGAGGTGGTATTTCTCATTATGCTGGTGTGCAYGATAGCTTCCGTTCAAGCTTCAGCTTCATACAGCTCTCCCTGAACTCRGCTTCTGGAGTAAATGACATTGAAGGCAAATCTGTTGAAGAAGCTGAGATTATTCTGCATCCCAAAAGCATAGGAAATCTGCAGAAGCCAGAAGTGATGGCACAAACTCACRAGCATTTGGGCAATCTGTGTTGCTTCCCCAGGTCTGGTGAGGATTTGCGGCATGAACGTGAGAGCCTAGTAAATGATAAATTGCAGGAYTTTGAGACACTCTCTGTCTCGGATATAGATGCAACATTTTCATATTCTACAGATTCCTCAGATGCAGCATCTGCTGGCTCTTCTGTCACCTCAGGCTATGAAAGTAGCTTTACTGTTAGTGACCACAACTGGGATACTTTGATGAAAAAATATGAACCAGTGCTACAGGATTGCTTGCTTGGCAACCGCAGTACATTAAAGGTCAGTAATCTCACTTTGTATTTGATTCTTCTTCCTCCAAACATTTTTATTTATAGTGCCAAAATCAAAGTTTATGTAGGAGTTCAGATACTACTGGCTTCTATGGCCTTTGTTCAGAGTTTTACAGTAGTGCTCTGCATGATAAAAATGAGATCACAGGTTCTGTTTGGTTCTTTAAAAACAGGTGATGTTGTTGCAGTACCCTATTCTATTCTACCCTATTTCTACTGAAACTTTGATCCTCTTGTTTCTAACATCATTCATGAGTTTCTGACTTCAACAAGTAACATTTCTTTTCACAGGTGGCTGTTCTGTCTGTAGTTTGGGGTACATGTAATGTAAAACTGGGGGGTGGTATGAACTCTTTTCTTGAAGTATCATGATTTAACAACACTAAACTTTTTAATTGGAAATTTCAAACTTGAGCCAAAGATTTCAAGAAATGAGGCAACTGTGTGAAAGTAGTGTGTAATCTAATAGGTGCTCTCTCCATATGAAGAAAAATGGGGGTCGAGTCCCTTTCTGTCTCCAGCTGGTAACTGAACCTTTATTCTTTTCCCCTTCCACCCCGGAGGAATAGTGAGCTGGTGAGCCGGGAGTCTCTTTTTGCATATATGTATATACACACCCATTTATACCTGTAATGTATAAGACAGTGKCATTCATTGTGTTCTTTGTAGGAGAGGGGTGGGGAAACTTTAAGAAGGATCAGCTGTGTTATATTTTCATGATGGTAGGGTGGGCATTGCAGGARAACCATTCTGAGCTTACCTGATCAAAGGAGCCAAGTATTGGCTTTRTTGTGCATGCAGGGGACAGTAATCCAGATATTGATATGGACACAATGGATTTTCACTAATTTGTTCAAGGTGCACTGAGTGGGTGGTGGGGGTTTTGTTGGGTTTTTGTTTGTTGGGTTGTTGGTTTGTTTGTTTTTGTTAATTTTTTTTTTGGTTTTGTTTTGTGGTTTGGTTTTTTTCTGATTTTTTTTTTAATTATTTTTATTTTAATTGTTTCACTAGTGCCCAAGTTTCTTGGTTGCCTTCAGAAACTGAGAACCTTGTAACTTCTCAGCTCAGACACATACCTGCTGAGATGCACTGTATTGTCTTTAGGCCTAATGAAAAAAACCTGTTCTGGGGAGAATTTGCACAAACCTGCTGTCTGGGTAAGACAGAAGGCTGAGAAACTTTTATTCTTTCTTCGCTTTCTGTGACATCTGACTTGGGCTTGTGGTGCTCTCTGATAGTTTCTTTTCATAGATGACGTGTGTAGAACTCAAACTAGGTTCTCWTATTTACAGACTTCACACACAGTGACATGGAGCAGTTTCTTTGGTTTCATGCCTGGAATTGCAATGTGCCCATGGTCTGGGATGGTTTGGGAAATTAATTCACTGCAGTTTTGGAAATATATAATGCAATCAAAATAGGAAATGATTTTTCTTTCTTTTCAGTATTGCTTATTCGATAGGCACAAAGGAAACATTGCTATCTTTAATTTCCGTATTCATTAATTCATTGAATGAAGAATTGGGGATTTGTGCCCTCAGATGTCTTTGCCCTTGGTTAGCCAGTTGTGTTTTTAATTTGAAGCACCTTCCCATTGTAATGATAATGAGTAAGTCTCAAAGTTTTCAGAAAGGAACAAAGGCAATGGTAAGCAAGGAAAGGAGACAATACCAAAGTTGTTAAAATTATACTTTCTCTGTACTTAAAAAGTGATCTTCATCTGGTACAGATATAGGACATGCCACGCTGAAGCAGAAGCAGGACTTTGATTAACTGAGCTCCAAATGTGTCCCCAGCCTGCAAATAGAAAGCACTTTGCTGTGGCAGCATCAGTCAGTTTGCCGTGGGCGTGCCTGGGCTGTGGTACCCAAGCAGGCTTTAAATGACCTGCCACTGTAGTGCTGATGGAATAAACACTGCGAGCAGCAGCAGAGCTGTACTCTCAGTGTAGATGGTTGTTATACATCACATATATGAAAAAAGTGTCACTTGAATCATTCCTATTGCAGGCTTCTTTAAAACGCTATAAAAAGTCAGGCATAAAACACAGAAAAAAATTTATGCTGAGGTTTCAGAGCTCCTCCCTTCAGTATCATTTGCATTTGTCACCAACCTCAGAAAAAAAAAGATTGGAATTTCCGGAAGTGAAAACCAAAAGAAAGTAAAACCTAGAGGAAATGGGAATGTAGAAAATGTTTTGGTTTTTTTTCTTCTGGAGCAGCCTATAGCCTATTATGAATCAAACATTTTTTGGATACTTTTCTGGCTTTATTTGTACAGATTTTTTTCTTRCTAGTCCACTTTCACATACCACATTTAGAAGGGTATTCTGAATTTAAAGGTTTGTGTGTTGATGGTCTRTTGTGTATTGATATGTAGTCTTGATAATGGAGTGCTTCTATTATGTTGTTGACAGGCTGTACTTATTTTTCTCTATGCAATTTAGAGTTTAAATATGGGGATTAAATATGAAAGAGTTTCAAGGAGGAAGAAAATATTTTGTAAATGGAGAGCATCCAAATTATGGATTTTAGTGCTCTCCCAAGCACTTTCARGCTTTGGACTTTGAGAATATATGCTGCTTCTTTCTCCAGGCTCACCTTTTTCAGTGCTGRTAGTGGCTTTTTTGGTACAGGTCATGTACAGATTTAATGAAAAACACATTCCAGTCTTGTAACTGCAGCTGTGCTGGGCTGTGGCTGTCATGGCAATGAGGAGAGGACTAARCCAACCTTCTAATCAATTTCTTTTAACAGCAAAACTTTTCAAGGCCTTACAAATTTTTAGTAAATTTAGAATTGATCCAGACTCATGATGTWAATGAAGAGAAGCATTAACTTTTAAAAGAAAACTTTATTATKGTAAGTTTCTTTTGGAATGTGAGAGACTTCTGTGGATGTGGTTTGGGTATTCTTGGTGTTCTGCTTTTTTAACTCGTCTAGCATTTGCATTGTGAACCGAAAATGCAAATRTCAACATTATGTAGGTGAGCCTTTCATTTTAATGAAACTTTTTTGGTTGCATATGAACACTCTTTTCTGTCCCATAACATGAATATACCTGTTCTAAAATATTCATACTGCATTTCAATTTCTGTTTACATAATAAAATGTGGTTTGCATATGGAAATTTTGCATTCGTTCTGTKCAAAACTCAGGTAAAAAATTGTCAGAATGGGCTTGGAAATACACTGTTAAGTACAGTGTGTTAAGAAATAGGTGTCATGCAGACAGAATCTTCTAATAATCCTACTTTCATTTATCCAAAGGGTGAAAAATATCCTGCGATTGCATGATCTCCTTTGCTTTTCATGAAATATCATTTGTTATTCTCTGTATGTGTTTGGACTAAAGCCATGCTTGGCTCAAGTAGCTGCAGTTCAGCTGCCTTCCAAATAGGTCTGTCTACTTAACAAATACTGGGCTTAGCTGTGAAAAATTTGGCTGTTGTTGTGATGTAGTAATCCATTAAATTTATGTTGTGTAGAGGTTAATAGTCTATGTATTTTTTAATGCAGCTTCTTCATAATTAACCTTTTTCTTCTTTTCATAGTTAAAATCTTTGATCTTTCGGCTTCAGAGGCTTCAGGAAAAAGCAATAGAGGAAGATGACTATGATAGAGGTGAGAATTGCTCCTCCCTACTCCCCACTGGATCATGCTGCTTTTTTTTTTCTTTCTTTCCTTCTTCCTCTATTTGTATTTCCTACATAGCAGTGAGTGGGCATGGAAAACTAGTTCAATGAACTGTATTRTTTATTCTGTTGTATGGCAGGAAACAAATTAAAGTAGGTCAGCAGCAGGTAGCAACAGTTTTTATTTTCTTGAGCCACATCACCATGTGGGAAGGTTGATATCCAAATACCCACCATCTGGATCAGCTGTTTTGAAGCAGCATGACTGAAAAAAAGCAGGAAAGAGTGGCAGCTTCAAAAGGAGAAAGGACAGGCACTGGCTGCTGACAGAGTGAGATTTTCTGCTTGCCAYAGTCATGGCACTGCAACAGGGCTCACAGAAATAAGGTCAGTAGCTATTACTGAAGTGAATGATACTGTCCTGTGGGACTAACCTGATGTCCACTGAGTTCAATCAAAATCAGCTAGAGAATATGGTGGTGATACAGCTGCTGGCAAGTATCTGTCTTTGAATAATGCATTTTCACTTCTGATAAGCTTTGTGAGTGTGCACATTAATAATTAAAACATCTATTAAACACATTGGGTTTCTTGTTGTTTCTTGTTATGGTAGTCTGTGTTCAAGTACTCATATTTTGATAATCTTCAGGAAGTTAATTTTTTCTTGCTAMATCTCTCTTCAGCTGGAAGAACCTGCAAATGTTTCACTAAAATCTGCATGATTAAATCAGAGAAAAAGGGTGGAAAAAACACAGCTCCTTTCCTGCCACTTTTTATTTTTGACTTGTAAGAATTGGGCAGTAGTCAGACTTGTGGTTTGCCTTTCAAAATTAATGTGTGATACTTGGCAGCTGTACCATGACTCTGTTTTCCCACCCTCAAAGATGTACCCAAGATGAATGAAAATGTGTTTAATAGTGTCTAGGGGGTGGTTGTGTAGTCCTTTTGCACAAGGACTCTGTTGGCCTCTTAAAGGCCTGCCTGTATATAGGAGAAGAGTCTACTATTGTTACAAGTCATTCTTTTAGTGTGGCCTCTCCTAAAGGGGAAGACCTTTAGGTATATTAAAATCTGAGGATGTAGTAGATACTTTTGGGTTTAATCTCTGTCAAATAGATATTATTGATGTGTGTGCTTTACATGTGTAACACTTATAACTCTTCTTTTTTAAGTGCCTGTGGGTTGATCTCACTGTTGGAGACTTCCCAACAGCTGTGTACTCTGTGTGCATGGTTACCAGAGATTCCAGCTGGAATTCTCCAGGCAGTCAGCCAGTCTGACAGCAGTATTTCAGTATATCAGGTGTGACATGTCCATGTGATGCCATATAGTCGTTGACCACGGGGAAAAATGATGACTTGTGTTGAATCTCTCACAGAAAGCTCTTGTGTAGTTCTTCTGAGCACTGSTCTTGTATCCTTAAAACAGGACCAGCTTTCTGTTGACCATCACGTCATCCTTTTGCTCTTTTCAACTCCACCCTAGTTATCAAGAGGGGTTAGCACACTTAGTTAGCACACACGGTGGTTTGCAGAACCTTGCGTTAATTCTCTTTGGAAAAGTGGTGTGGCTGAAAAGTTATTTCACCAGGTGCTGTGGGCACAGAGAAAAAAAGTGGTAAGGAGAATCTACAGCTGGATTACTCTTTTCTGTGCTAAGTCTGACATACACAGACAGAAAACCTTTGTCCTGATATAGGGCTGGATGCTGTGTTGCTTGAGATGGATTTGGATTCTTCCATCCCTTTGAAAGCCAGAAGTCCATCTTGACACTGTTGYTCTCAGAAAATGACACGCTTCATGCATGCATGTGACCATCCTTAATTTTATCAGTTTGTATCTTTTGAGTCCTTGCCCTGCTTTCTGTCATATTGGTCTTTGTTCCACTTCTGATACAGCTATCCACTGGGTTTGTGTGGTTTTTTTTTTTTTTGTTTTTGTTTTTTTTTTGTGACTGCTTTTCATTATTTTCAGGAAATGGCTTCCTTACTTTTCCTTTGGTGAAACATAGGCAGTGTATCTTCAAGGAAAAACTTGCGTGGAGAAGGTGCAGTGCTGCAAGGAGAATCAGAGCTGTCACCCTCCTTCCTCATCTTGCAATGGCAAAGCTTTCCACCTCTGCTTTTAGAGCTGTGTTGCTGCTCCTGGTAGAGAGCAAAGTCTTCCCTGGCGTGAAGTTTGAAAGCTTGTTAAAGAGCTTACAGATTGGCCCAGTACCAATTTCTGTTCAAGTGAAATCTGTAATTAGCCTTCTTTAAAGGGATCTTATTGCCAAATATTGCTAGCAGGGAATGGAATTGCTAAATGTGCAGAGGTGTGATGTGAGGCATGAAGGCAGGGTATTATCAGGGAGTGGGAGAAATGGACATGGGGCATGGGAAGGGCTGAGGACATTTTAACTATACTGCTAGGAAGAAAATTTCTGATCCTGTAATTTGGAGAATGACTTTGAACATAGAGTGAGTCCTCTATTAAGAGCAGAACTGTTTTGAGCTGGAGATGATGATGGTGCTGTGTGTGATAACCACACAGGTCTTGCTCATTTGGGACCACTGATGGAGAAGGATAGCTCTAKTAGGATGTGAATAGCTGTGAAATGCCCTGGACATTGAAAAGGTGAGTAGAGGGGAAGGAGAGCAGGTGGAGGAGGGATAGATTCCCAAGTGGAAAATTAAATTGCCAATAAATATATTATCATGTAGCTGCTATTTTGGTGGCAGAATTTACTCTCCAGATTCAATCATAGCCAAGAAACTCAAGAGACTTTCTGACTCCGGTTCYTTAAGAGTTGCCTAGTCATGCAGGGAAGGGCTCTTGGTGGGAGGGAGGTGTGTTAATGCTTAAAACTCATCTAAGTGCTCAGAGCTGGTTTCTGCTGTCTGACACTGTAAACTTCACACCTTAAAGAAAGGCAAGCATCACAGGTTTGACACTCTTGCTTTCCTGCTCTACAGAGCTCTTTGAAAGCTCCTGTAGTCTGTGGTAACCATTGGAACTGAATTATAAATCAAGTCATGCCCCTACAGAGAGGGAAAAGGGATGCACTGTGTTTCCAGTTGTGGAAACAAGACTAGGAAATGACACAGACATAAAGGAAAGCTTTTCTCCCCTACAAAATCGTGGACAAATACCTTGTGGCAAACAGGTCAGGAAAAAGGATATATTTGTTTCCCCCCTTGAGAAACACAGGATAAATGCATGCTGTTTGAGCTCTTAAAGAACTTGGTGTCTTCCAGGTAAATGTTAATCATTTAGTGTTTATTTCCTGAATGGGGGATGATTTTTGTAAGGGTAACTACAACCCTCCTTTGTTGTTTCAGAGACAAGGGAATGCCTATTTAAATCTTCAGCTTTTTTCTTCCTAGGTTTTCCTTTCTTTAGGTGAATCTATTTGCTTTGTCTTCCTCCTCCCCTTGAGCTTGAGAGATGCRCAGCAAAAATGACTGTTGGTTACCTGCTTGATTAGCTGCTGTGATTTCTGAAAGACCTGCCTTGGCATAGTTAGGGTGTTGGTGTAGAGGTGCTTTGATCATTCAGATAAATCCTTTTTTTCCTACACTTTCTGGCAGTGCCATGTGTGTGGGGTTGAGGSTGTGTTTGTTCTGAGAGTGCTGGAGGCTGCTTGGGCCAGAGGCCACCACAGTGTCCCCGTTGGTGCTCATTTGCTAGAGGTCACAGTGCTGTGAAACCTGCAGGGTGTTCTCTGTTTAAGCTGTAGCTGTCATGGGTTGTTTCAAGTGCAGATGTTCCTTGGCTGTGAAATGGTTGTGTGAAATGCATATTCAGTGAGACAAATCTCCACAGTCCTGGTATAATTTTAAATAGGAGCCATTAGGATGTTTTATTGATCTTTCTGTTTTTAGGTGCTGAAATATCAGGAAATAAGTGATTTTTTTTTTTTTTTTTTTCTGTATTTACTTGTGGTCTCCTCTTGATGGCCACATTACTGTATGTTTTCAAAACAGGTACTGTACCATGGGAATATAAGCATTTTGCCTTGCATAGCATATAGGAAAAAATGGTCTGTTCTCCAAGGATCACTTGGAGTGTTGTCATGGCTCATTATTCATGATGGAGCTTGACAGCTCCAAGGTTAAACACATTGCTGAATACAGGAGGAAAAAAAAAAAGACTGTGTATTTTGTGTCTGTGGGAGTTACGCTTGCAGTGAGAGCAAATGTATTTTGCTCAKTACAAATCTATTGCCCAAACATTTGAAAACCTTTTTACTGTTCTATGCTTCAGAACCTTTTACTGTTCTGAGCTCCTCAATCTTGCCTAGTGCAAGAGGCAAATGGATTGGTAACTATCAGGACCAAGCCTTGCTGCCGAACTCCACTGCTGGCTCACATGCCATTTTCTTACTCGGAAAAAAGTTCCTGCAGAGCTACTGATTCTTTTAAATTGTTTTAGGTATTTTTTCAAGAAAAATATTCTTTGCAGATTCATTGCCTGCAACTGGTAGGGAATGTTATTTCCCCATGGAATCAGTGTATATTCAGAATTAGGGTTCTTCAGTGAAGGTCATTGGGCAGATCAGAGCAACTCCTCATCAGTCCAGCATGACAGGAGGAACRCAGACATTCATGCCTGTCATGGCAAGATCTATCTCAGCAATAAAGCTTCATGCTGTAGATGCATTTAACATAGTGTGAGCTTTCAATTATTTTAGGTGAATTCCCAAAGGATGGGCTGTGTGAATTGGTGARCTGCCATGGACTTGGGTGCTGTGTGCTCTGCAGAAAAATAGTATTTRCATGTTTTTTCCTTAGTTTTTGCTCTTTGCTTGTGCTCTTTAAGACCTCTTAATACCAATTGTCCTTTCCACCTCTCAGGACCTGCAGGGATTCAAGGACAGAACCCTGTGGTATGTAGGAATTTGAGGCTGATTTTGCACATTTTCCTTTGATCACAAGAATATGAAGGGAAAGAMAAGGCTTTGTAGCTGTTAGTCTCCTTTGGGTTTACATTGTAAGAGGTGCTGTTGCTC